ACTCACTCACTCACTCACTCAACTCACTCACTCACCTCACTCACTCACTCACTCACTCACTCACTCACTCACCTCACTCACTCACTGGTGCCGCTGGCTGTCAGGCAAGATTTCGAGGCAGGCGCAGCATTTTGTGGACTTTGAAGGGCAGCTTTCGTGGCAGCCGCGACCTTGCAGGAGCGCTTTGTGGACCTTGTACCAAGGGCCAAGGGCAGCGGTTTGTGAACTTTGAAGTGCAGATTTCGTGGGATGCGCAGCAAATGTGCTTTCATTATAGGTGCGTGTTTTTTACGCCTTTCATATGATATTATGTGTGCTCTCTAGACCTCCACCCTTGGATCTCTAGACATCTCTTTGCGCCTCTGGACCTCTGGATCTGGACATAATGACATAATCCCCGTAAAAATTTCACCCATAAAATCAGTCCCCCCAGGCTCCTGCATAGAACGGTTCTACGAACCACATGGCTCTCCAGAAGAGACTCTAAAAGTGGGAGACCATTCATTTTATGGACAGCCGTTTTTGGGTGGACTCCTATCCATTTTATGGAAAGGCAATCTTCCTATAATCTCAGATCAAAGGCGGTTTTAGGTGCTGGACTCCAGCCATTCTATAAGCACAGCATTCTTGAGAAGAATACTAAGGAACAAACTAAGGAGACTCAGGCTTTATCATCTTCATCCTGCTGGCGTTCATGGGCCTTAGCTTGGGCGCGCCCAGCCCACAAAAGGATAAAGAAACACTACTTGTAACTAGTACGCCGAAAGGTGTAAAATAGCGCCGAAAGGTGCAATTCATCTTCTTTTTCTTTAGGAATCGTTGGGCTCAACTTCCAGTGTCGGCTATTAAAATCCGACACTGGCTAAATAGGATTTTTGTGTGTGTTGCCAGTTCTGGTCTTTTCCAGAACTGGGTGTGTGTTGTGTGTATTACTTCCAGTGTCGGCTATTAAAATCCGACACTGGCTAAATAGGAGTTTTTTGTGTGTTGCCAGGTATGGTCTTTTCCAGAACTGGGTGTGTGTTGTGTGTATTACTTCCAGTGTCGGCTATTAAAATCCGACACTGGCTAAATAGGCGTTTTTTGTGTGTTGCCAGTTATGGTCTTTTCCAGAACTGGGTGTGTGTTGTGTGCATGTGTATTTGTTTGTGTCACCTTTTTGAACTTGACATAGAATTACCTGGGAGCACAGCATTCTTGAAGCCAAAAATGAAGCCATTTGGCTCAATGAAAGGCGCAGACAATAACACATCTAAGTTCATCTAAGCCATTCTGATTCAGGAAGACTGGCACAGGAACCACGTTTGTGTTTGGGTTTTGTTGTGCAACTTGTCGGAGAGCCCGGCCCGGAATGGTAGTTTTTTGAAATGGGGGAATGTCCAATGGTATATGCGAAGCACATACACTTTCAATAGAGCAGAACATAGACAGAGACCGTGCGCAGCAAGAGTGAGAAATGTGGTTGTCCGTCACTTTCAGCTGTTTTGTGAAGCCTTGATTTCTTTTCCAACATGACCCCTTATAAAATGGCTTTCTTTTTTGGGGAAAATGAAGGTCTGGAAGGAGGGTGGGGCAATCCAACTTATGGATAGGCCATTTTAAGGTTATAGGCTACAAAGGTGTCATTTTGGTTGGTTTTGGTCGGCCTGGGCTCCCCATTCTATAGTGAGCTGGTGTCCATCCTGTTAGCTGGGGTCATCCAGTCTATAGAGCAAAAAAGGTAGGCTCCCCCATTTTATCACTATAAAATGGTGAGTCCGGACCGACCATGGGAATTTCAACGGGGATATGACATAGAACTTCAACTCTAAGGCGATCGGCAGCGTCAGCGCAATCACCACCGCCATTAGTCACCACTGCCACTGCCGCTACCATCACCGCCGCCACCACATCACCACCTTCGCCGCCGTCACCATGACCATCACCGCCACCGTCATCACCACCTTCAACGCCACCATCTGTCACTTCTTTCTGGAGCCCAGCGCGTCTAGATCTCTAGACCTTCTCCTGCCGAGAATTCTTAAATCTCAGCTCCCTGTGCTCAAGCTTACACACGCGTATATTAATCAGCACGCGCTCCAGATTTCGCGGCGCGGGACGAGGGGCTGGGGAAGGGCAGCGCCTCCGCCGAAAAACAAGCAGCAAAAGGAGCTGCGACCCCGGAAAGCGCATTTGCGATCGGTTTGTTTTGTGTTGATACTGGTTGCGCTGTGTTGTTGTGGTTTTTTGGCCGGGAAGTCATCGCCCCAGTCACACTGCTGACCTGGAAAGTCTAATATCGGAAAGTCTGAGTGTATTCTCATTCAGTTTGAATCCTTTGTCCACTTAGCGCTGCCTGTGAGGGCATTGAGGGGTGGGTGGTAGTGTGTGGTAGCTTGTATTGAAACTATTTTCTGCGAAACAGGAAACTTCTGGCAAGGAGGCCTATAATCAGCCAATTCCTTGTCGACCATGTATTTAGAGGACTTTACAAACCTAAGAGTTGCCATTCGCACTGTGATGTCATGTCCCAGTGACATGCGCGTCTCGTCTTCAGGATGCGTCAGCCAAAGATGCGACGGTGAAACGAGCTCACGAAAGCCCCCACGAGGTGTAAAGACGGAGCGCAGAGCGAAGCAGCGAAGAGCACATGTCTGTCTGTCAGGTGATTTTTCCAGTAGCTCTCCCTGATGAAGGCGGCTTCGATTGGTTGGACCAATTCTTGGAGTCCAACCCGCCAGAATCCACAGTTTGCTTGACGTAAAGAAAAGACCGAAGACAGTTTACAAATATTTGAGTTTGAGCAAGAATGCTTCTCCCCAAAAGGCAGATCGACTTTGAACTGTGATTGTCCGCGTGCTTTCACTTGCGCTTTGCAAGGACCTCACTCTGCTGTCTGGCCTTGAGGTCTTTCACTGAGGTAAGCGACAGGGCGCTGCTGAAATGGTGTGAGAGAAGCGGCATTCATCGACCCAAAGGCTATGGAGTTGCCCGGATGAAACAAGAGATACTTTTTACACATTTGTGAAGAATCCATCTTGTGGTTTGTCAAAGGTGTCCTTGCCTTACTTTGCTGAGTTGTTTACCAAATAACTCCGCGAAACGCTATCGACGCCGCTTCGGCCTCTCAAGGCTTCCGCGCGCAGCTCCAACGACAAGCCTGAGGCCTCTCACTTTGCCTCGCTTTCAACGCAATGCCGCTATGCCCAACTATGCCCAGCTACACGCAGCCAAACGCACGCTGTATAAAGACCACAAAAGCGCGTAAAAGAGGATCGACCAGCCGAGAGCACATTTGCCAGAGTCTACACCGGTGCCAAGTGAGTATAGTGAAGGGTCGCATCATCTCGAGCTTAGAGAAGAGTAAGGAGCCAAGGAGTCAGTGAAAAGGCGCGAGGCTCGGGCGCTGCGGTTTGGGGCGCTCGGCCGCGCGGTTACCCATTGAACTTGCTGTTGCGCCCGGGAACCCTGTGTTCTCGAGGCTATCAGCCGTATAGGCTTGTTTGGGCATTCCTTTTCCTATCCTGTCTCCTCGCTGAGCGGGCCTTCGCTGGTCTCTCGCAGCGTGTGCAGCCCTTCGGTTCCACTCGCGTCAGAGGCTGTCCTGTCATGTCTTCTTTTGACCCCTCTTGATTGGACCAATGCAAGGGCATTGCCGCGTTTTGGTTCGTTAGCCTTTGATTGGTCAGCAGGAGAGAAGCGCAAAGCGGAGTTTAAAGGACGCCGCGTCAGGACTTGAAACTCAATCTAACTCGGAGAGATGTTGAAGCAGTCCCAGCTCCCCAAACACCGGGAATATCCTCTGAATCATCAATAACTAGCCCTGAACAGGTCAGGCCAGATCAACATCAAATGGACCCGTTCAGCCAGCATCTAGAAAGCCCGCCAACATTGTCAGAATTCGTTCAAGATTACTTGTTAGGCAAGAAGCGTCTAGTGAGACCTTCTAAAGGGTCGACCAGGCCGAAGAGTTTGCACAAGCCACCATCCAGAAGCTTCTAGGGAGATCCAAAGCGGCCCAGGAAGAAACCTGGGAAGGTGTTGAGCATGCTGGGGCTGCCGCCCACCACGACGCTTTATTAGAGGTTCAAAAAAATTATCCAGAGTGAAGCCAGGCAGGAAGTGGAGAGGGCCAGAATTTCGACCAAAGGGTTCAATTATCCAGAGGGAGGGCGGTTGGAAGTCGATAAAGTCCACGCTCAGTCTACTCTAGAAGGTAGATCAGGTAAAGGCTCAAGCCCAAGCAATTGTTCAAGAAACTTTGGGACGAACCCATGCGCACCGTTGAAAACTCAAAGAGGTTATCAGGGTTAATGAAAGGCTGCAATCCAATGTTCAGACCAAGCGTCAGAGGATTCATGAGCTATGATAGAGGTCACTGCGCAAACTCGACGCCAGCCTGCCAAGTAATGGCGCGGATCAATTTTATAGCGGCAGTCCTAGGAAAACAACGACAGGTCCGTCCGAGAGGCGTTTTAGCTGGTGACGGCCGATTCTTGTTTGCTTTGAAGGGAGGCGTACAGCCACTCCAGCAGTGTTTGAGAAGAGTCCCGTGAAGGGGAGAAAGCCTGCCTGAGTTGGTCAAGAGCGATGCTGCTGCTGAGCTGAATTAAAGTACCTAGGATGGGAGCGCCTAGTAGCTTCTTGTTACTACTAGTAAGGCACTTGTTACTAGTAGCGA